TGGGGGGGCACAGCGGGAGGCAATATTGGATTATCTGTGGGCCATGTAGTATATGGTTCTAGCCTTGGTACCTCTATTGACCTCAGAGGCTGTGCTGGGTGTTGAACTACTTGGCGCTCTGGGCCGCGGGCTTGCTCTTGCAGACGTCTGTCCATCGACGAGATCTGCAAGTACTCGTCCGTGGCTCTAATCATGAGCGCATCTGAATAATTGTCCCGCCACCAACGGAGGGTTTGGATGTACGACTCCGGTTCCTCCGGACCAAGGAGGTGGCATGTGCATCTGTGAACTAAGTCGATATTCTTCGTCCTCTTTCGTGACTCGCACTTTCCTTTTGTTAAGGAAGTGGACCATTTGGTGAGCTTCCATAACTCTGATCATGCGAGTCGCGTGAGCGGATACAGCTGAACTATGTTGAAGTATTTCCGTGAATGTGTCTTCTGTAATATTGAACAGTTGGAGGGTGGCTCTGAAGTAATCGAGGTCCTGAGACCAACTAAACAGTCGTGGCAGCATCAGTTCTTGAAGTAAGTCGCGGTTGACTGTGATCGCGGTGATGCTGTGCATCAGTTCGTCTATCCAACCCATGAGATGAGTAAACCTGATCTCGAGAGGCTGGCGTCTGACGAGGATTACTGCAAGATTATGAAACGACTGTGTAGTATGTTGAACTATTTCTAGAAGGGTTTGAAGTATATGAACTACACGTGCGACTAACTCGTAGTCTGCGGGACGCGCTGGTGTCGTCTCTTTGTCTGGAATAGTGATGGCACGAACGCGGTCCCGTAAAATATTATTTGTAGTAATATAGTCGAACACTGTTCGTGAGTTAAAGTTCGAATGAGTTAATTGGGGTCGCAGGGGTTAATTGCACAATAAACGCGGCTGTTAGTACATTTTTGCTAAATTGGGTGAGTCGTTAGTGACTGAGAATGAATAAAGAGAACATTATAAACATAATGTTAGTGTCAAAGTGTGGTGAGTAAGAAGTTAGTAGTTTAAGAATGATAGTTCATAAAGAACGAGTTAGTAGAAAGAAGCAAGTTAGTAAAGAGTTAGTGCAATGGATGTATTAATGAATTATTGCTTCACTCATCACTTCTTTTTCGATGAATTATGAATCGAGGTATGTACTACTAATTCGAAAATGAACTATGTATTATGTAATACATGGCTACTCATTTTGTAGTACACGTATGAACTACTGATGAATGAAATGGACTAAAATGAATTGAAGTAGTTCATAGTTGAATTAGTAGATGTATTAGTGCGACATGAATTAAATTAAATCATAGTTGAATTAATGAACTACGTTAATGTAGTGAGTGAGTGATGAAGTGATGGAAAAGGAATGGTGTGAGAGAGTTAGTTGCATTAAATGTTAGTGTTAGCTGCCAAAATCCGAAAATACGATTTTGCTTATAACTTCCTAGATTTGCATGAAAAGGAGAGGTTAGTGTGTGAGAAAGGTGTTAGTGTGCGAAGAAATGAACTAATACAAAGAAAAAATGAGAAGTGACATGAAGTACTGTTAGCTTCAAAAAGCGTCGCCTTTTTGCCTATCGTGAGCGTTGAGTGAAGTGGCGACATTAACTTGAAAATAACTGGCTCCACAGTGATCGGAGAGCCTCCAAGTGAACTAGTGGATGAAATGGAACAAATATGAATGAAGTAAAACGATCAAATCGACGGAAAATCACGAAACAGAAAACGGTATGCGACGGTGGACGTTGACGATATGCGAAAATGAGATTTTCGGATTTCGTCATGTCTTTGTTGGCGCGTCGTGGTACGGTAATCCGTATGGGGATCCTCCGCGACTGATCTACTGCGTCCTTTAATCTTTTGTCATCATTCATGTATTAGTTCACTGGAGTAGTCGTTTTCTGTATTATCGATTTTTGAACTAATTGATTGAGTTCTGTATTATCGATTCTCCTCGGGGATGAATTAGAAGTAGTGACTTCTAGGAAGTGATTAGTGGTCGAAAACATGTTAGTACATGGGGTTACTGATACGTTTGGAATTAGTTTGGGTGAGTATTGAAGTAAACTTGTATTAGTTGAATTAGTCCAAAGATGTATTAGGGAATGTAGTACAATGACGTTAATCCAGGTAAGTCTGTATTAGTTCTTGGATTAATGAATTGATATCGCGTGAGTATTGAATCTTTGAATTACTCCGTTATCTCTGCTTTGCTTTTCGCTCTGGTTGGATGCGAGTCGGCTGACTTTGCTTTTTTGATTGTAGTACATTTTGCACATCCGACGCGCATACTTCCAGAGGGATCAGCTGATTAACGGATCGATCGAGGAATTTGTTATTGCCTGTTTTGATTTTAACTGATCGAATTGATCCGTCCGCTGAACTAAAGATTTGTACTATCAGACCAAGAGGCCATTGGGATCTTGGAGTATTCTCTGTCTTTATGAGTACTACATCACCAACATTCGGACTATCTTTTGCACCTTGCCTTGAAGGAAATCTTTTTTGATTTCGTTCGGCGAGGTTTTGTAGATACTCCTTGTGCCAGTGATCCCAAAATGTATTAAGAGTTTCTTGTAGTAGTACATATGAACTATTGATTTCTTCGTGCGAATCCAAGACCCTTAGCTGGTTAGTTGAATTAAATGCCTCTTTACATGGAGGTGTGAAGTAGGGGTTAATGAGATCAATTGGTCTTAGTACAAATGTATTATCTGATGAGCTTGTAGTAACTGGAGTAATTGGTCTTGTATTAAGAGTAGATTCAATCTCTGAAATAGTAGTTTGTAAGCTCCATATGTCCAGTGTTCGCCGATGAATTGCCTTCTTGAGGGATGACTTTACTGAGCCCACAAGCCTCTCGTAGAAGCCACCTTTCCACGGAGAGAGTGGGGTTATGAACTTCCACTCGAGTCTTTCTGAACTAGTGAAGTATTGAACTACGGGGTCTTCTCTTAGGGAGTGTAGCTCGTTGACCAGAATTTCTCTGCCTAGTTTGAAGGTGGGCGCGTTGTCGCTCAGGACAAGTGCCGGAGCTCCTCTGCGTGCCATGAACCTTCTAAAGGCTAGGAGAAATTGTGGTGCTGAGTTGTCGGCTACAACTTCCAAATGCAAGGCGCGTGTGGCCATGCATGTGAAGAGACACACCCAGATCTTCTTGTCCTCTCCGGTTTCTTGGCGAACTGTGATAGGACCGAAGTAGTCCAGACCGATGTTTTGGAATGGCCTACTTCTCACTACTCTCTGGCTAGGCAGGTCAGGAATTCGAGGGTACGAGAAGGATCGTCCCTGATGTTTCTTGCAAACCACGCACTTTCCAATGACGATATTGACTACGCGGCGTATCCTTGGAATAAGGTAGTGATTTCTAAGCTCAGATATCAGGTGGGAGGTTCCGGCATGGAATAACTTTTCGTGGAGGTCTGTGACGATCAACCTGGTGAGTTGATGTTTTGGCAAAAGCAGGACGGGAGTCTTTGCAGAGTCCGCAATATCTGCGTTTGCCATTCGCAGGTCTCCACGGTAGATGCCGTCTTCGCCCAGTGATATCCGGAGGCGTTGAACTACGCGGCTTTGCAGCTCGATCACTTCTTCGCGATAATGTTCGCGGAGTAGGAGGATTTCTGCTGCTTTCATATCGCTTGCCGTAATGGTTTGCGTTTCTGACATCAGGTGGAGGATCCTAAAGCTGGTATCTTCGCTCGAACTGCTTTTCCTGGTCCTTCGCCAGAGGATAGCCACATACTTAAGGACATAGGAAGCTATACGAACTAGTTTCTTATATGAATTAGTTCTAGTGAATGGAATGAATGACTTGTAAGTATCTGATGATGTATTAATTGCAGATCTGAATTCTTCCTGAGCTTCTTTAGGTGGAGTAGCCCTTGAACTAAAATCCATACTTGTATTAGGCCAATTTTTGGTTGAACTAAGTATGAATTGAGGGCCATGCCACCACATATGATTTGCTAGTTCAGAGGCTGATAGTCCTCTGGTCGCGCAATCTGCTGGATTAGAATCTGTATTAACGTAGTGGAATTTATGGGGTATCTTGGCATCTGATAGTTCTTGTATTACTTCCTTGATGTACTTTACCCTATTGTTGACGAAAGTTTTAAGCTGTTTATTGGAGTGTATCCAATAAAGAGCTATCTGGGAGTCTGATAGGAGGTGTACTGAACTAAGTGGGATATTGATTTGTTTTCGAAGGAAACGGACTAACTTCGCCGCCAAGACGGAACCTAGGAGTTCCAGTCTTGGGATAGACGTTTTCTTCATCACTGCCAACTTTGCCTTGGCGAATATTAGATTACTGAAGGGTGTACCTTTCACCGGTCTGCATACGAGGTATGCAACCGCTGCGTAGACCCTTTGCGAGGCATCTGAGAAGATGACCAAGTCATACTTGGCTTCTCCTGTGGCAGCAATGAATCTAGGTACGTTTCCCACGAAACCCTTGATATCCTCCGTAATACATCTCCACTTCTCCGAAGTACTTTCGTCGAAGGGATCGTCCCATGAATACTTGTTGATCCAGAGGTCTTGTATAAACATCTTCGCTCTGATGAACAAAGGTGTTAACAGACCTAGTGGATCAAACGTGGATGCAAATACTTTTAATGCACTACGTTTTGTATTAACTTGCTTATTTACTGTCTGAATAGGTATTGAAATAGAGTCTTTTGAAGTATCCCATCGCAGGCCCAAAAGTTTCACTGTACTACCCGTTTGTTTCATTCTGTCCTCGAAGGGAGTGGATTCCAGCACCTTGTTACTATTGGACATGAATTCACGGAGATTCATGCCCATTCGGGAGAAAGTGTCCTTGCACCGTGTTCTTTTACGAAGACCTTCGTCGACCGTTTTGGCGCCTATTATAACGTTATCGACGTAGGTGTTGGCAAGGATTTCCTCCTGAAGCTGGTCCTTTCCCTCCTTTTCCAGTGCGTACTTTATGGACATGCTAAGCAGAAATGGAGAAGCGTTAACACCAAATGGAATACGGGTGAAGCGAAGGATGCGGATGTTGTCCTTTGTGGGGTACCTTGAAGTATCCTTGAGCCAAAGGAAGCGCGTTGCATCCCTCTGATCCTCCTGTAGTCTGATTTGGTGAAATGCTTTTTCCACGTCTGCTATGATGAGTATCGGTGTCAGACGTGCCCTAATAATGTGCCGCAGAGGTCTGGCAACAGTGTTGGGCCTTGATGTACGCAGTCGTTTAGGCTGGGTACACCTTTCATATGGCTGGACGCGTCGAACACGATACGCAACTTTGTAGTAGCACTGTCCTCTTTGAATACCGCTTGATGTGGAATGTAGTACACCCATTTGCCGGGAGCTGAGCTCTCGTCAACGTCTTGTATTATCCCCGACTGAAGTTGTTGATTGAAGATCTTGCAGTATTCCTTCCATACTTTTGTATTAAGGTGGAGCTTATTGAACTGATTTTGTAATCTCCTGACTGCAAGAGCTTTGTTGTCAGCCAGGGGTGGGTGGTTGGCTTTCCACGGAAATTGAACATGTATTAGACCATCTTTGACTTGAACTGTATTATAGAAGTGTTGAATTATACTCTCGTTGGTCTCATCTGCTTCATCCTTGGTTTCGAGGGATTCCAGACCGAAGAGGTGTTGTACTATGCGATCAGTCTCGTGGGACTGATTGTCTTCTTCCGGGCTAGCCTCCGAAACCGTACACGTTTTGGATGAAGTAGAAGACTGGCATCCCGACAAAACTGGTCCGAGCGTTGTTTCCGACTCGACTAGGCCACTCGGGAGTTGACGGCTCGAGTTGAAGTGGACTACATCCCAATAGTAATCCATACCTATGAGAACGTCGACTTCCACTTCTGTCGTCTTACCCTTGTGGTTGTTGCCGAGCTTGTTGCTGCTCTTACTTATCTCCACGGAAGTTATTGCCTTGCGTGTCCATAAGTGGAGTTTTGTGGGGAGACCACTCTTTTTGTTATGGAGTATAATTTCAACACGGTACGACTTTTCCGTATGTAGATGGCCACCAAATGTTAAGGCTGTAATATTTTGCGGATTCTTGAGCTTTAAGCCTAAGTTTGCCGCAGTCTCCTTCTTGATGTAGCTGTGTTGAGAGCCGCTGTCAAGAAGGACTGTGATGGCTTGCTTAGACTTCGTATTTTTGTTTACTGTCAGTGCTTGAACTACCATGAGTTGCGGTGGACTAAGCATTTTGTTTAATTTGTCCTTACTGGACCTCTGCTTTTTGTTTGAAGTATGAGTTATAATAGCTTTTGTATTAACTGTATTAACGCGGACAGCTGTAGATTCGAGCTCTTCTGAGCTGGAATCTAGTTCAGAGTTCGCCATATGCTTGGATTGGCTACGATCCGAGCTTGGAGTAGGGGATGAATTAGAGTAGGCATAGGTTCTTGCTTGATTCCGGAATCCGACCTTCGGATGGGGAGATCCTCTACGATAAGGCCTTGTTCTTCGCGTAGGAGATCTTCCTCTCTCGTCTGGACTCGGGGATCGAGAAGAAGACCTTGACCTGTTTCTCCTGCTTACTTCCGATGAATAACTGTCGACTGAACTATTCCTTCTGTAGTATCTGTTCCCTGGGCTACCTGGTCTTCTCGGACTCAATGAGGATCTTCGCTGAAGACATAGGGATTTATGATGGTTTCGACCGCACCTGTAGCACGCCGGGGCCTCGCAGTCCTGACTCTTGTGTCCTGGCTTAAGACACTTCCAGCATAGGCGATTATGTATTACAGCTTCCCTTCGTTCGTAAGGAGAAGTCACCTCATCGCAGTTTGCAGTTTTGTGTCTGGGTTGTAGACAGAAACTGCACCTTTGTTGTTTTGTATTATTGGGCTTGTCCTTGCTACGGAAGGTCCGCTTCGAATGTGCGCCTCTGTTGGAGTCAGTGCTGCTATCCCTCCGTGATTTTCCTTGCGTGTGTTTTTTGAAGCGTACTGGACTATTTGAACTATTGGACTGCGTGCGATCGAGACTTTGAAGTTGGGGTTGGATCCGTGTCCTCGATGATTTCCAGCTGGTCTATGACTTCATCGAATGCTTCGATCAAGTCATCTGTAGTCCAGGTGGCACCTTTTCGACGTCTCTCCCCAACCTTTTCCCTTGTCTTCCTTGGAAATTTTGACCTTACCATCCTCATTGTCATCGTTGAGCCAGGTTGCTCAGATAGGTTGGCAAGCTGGACCCATATTGCCTTAACTTTGCATAATGTAATACGTTGTTCTGTGACGGCTTTTCCCGAGGGAGGCAGTGCCTCCAGCTGGTCGATGAGCCTGTTGCGCAGAACGTCCGGTCTGTTGTATGTATTAAGCAGAAGTTCGATGGCCTTCGGGTAGTTTTCCGCCGACAAGGTCATCGTGGCCATGAGGTCCTTTGCCGTACCCTTCAGAACACTTTTGAGATGAAGGAATTTTGCTGGCGCTCCTAGTGATGTATTATCATGTACTGCCAGCTTGTACAGCTCCCAGAATTCTGGGAACTCTACCATATCCCCTTGGAAATGCGGTATTTCCAACCTCGGTAACTGAACTTGTAATTCTGAACTATCCTTGGAGTAAGCCTTAGTGGGTTTGGTCTCATTGGACAAACTCTCTTCCATCGTCTGCTTCAAGTATTCCGTCGACTGGGTGAGTAGTTGCGCGTTGATCATGAACTTTTCTGCACTACATTTTTCCCAGTGGTCCGTGAGTTCTTGAAGTAGCTGGTAGCGAGTTTGTTCTTCGTCGAGCTGTTTGGCGTGCTCTTCGCCTCGCTTCCAGGCGTTGGTGAGGTTGTTCATCCAATGACTCAAACCGACTTGAGCCTCCAAAAGCTGCGTCGCGAACTTTGTTACCATTCGTTTGTCGCCAAAGTTCCCGGTCTGCTGCTCGAAATTGAAGATTTCGGTCATTGTCGTTTCCGTGCCCGTGATCTTCTCCTTCAGAGCATTGGCAGCTCTCGTAATTTGCCCTTTGACATAGCCGGATGCAGACATCGCCATGACAGTGTGACAGGTAAGCCACAGAACTCCAAATTCGAGATGTTATCTGAAACGTTGTGGTGTTTGATCGTGTTTTATACGGGTTTTTGTTAAGCGACCGACGTGATATTAGTTCAATGAGTGTTAATATTGTTGAGAGTAGTATGAGGTTCCTGAGTGGAACACATGGATACTGTAATACGCAAAATACACGAGTAATGCATGAATGAAGCGAACAAAATGAAGCAAATGAAGAAAGGAATAAGGAAAACGCAATAAATGCACCACTACCTACAGGATGAACTAAGGTAAGTACTACATTTTAAATGAATGTTGCCTATTTTGCTTTTACTGGCTTTATTTTGCTTAGTTCATTTTATTTTTTTTGTGTTGACTGCCTGTACCATTGACCCTTTTATTTTGACCGCAGGATGAACTATACCCTTGGGCTATTGATATTACGATGTAGTAATGTAGTACAGTGGGATTTGAATTAACGGTTGAACTAGTCAAAGGAAGAATCCACTGAGATGGTAGACCCGTCCGAATAACACCTCACCCTAGCTACCTCATTGGGTGGCCAACCCACATGGTAGAGGGGTTTTGAGGAGCTCCTCCCTCAGTGCGCCCAATTGCTTGGAACTTACAGGTACGTGGACATGTCTCAACAGTCTACCGGCCATCGCTGTGGCGCTACTACAGCTCTGGCTGGAGGCCGTATATCGCCTCCACTCGCCTTGTGGATTCACCCGTTCCCCTTTGACTCGTTCCTCCGTGTCCTTCGATGTTGCTGCTGGCCCTCCTTAACCATGCCAGACTGTCGACTAGTTGCCACCCCTAGTCGACTACTGTTGCGGAGGGCACTGGCGCGATCCCCTCGTTGTACTATTGAACTACGTTCTTTGAATTAGCCCTTGAGTTGTTCTCCGTTTTGTTTCCCTTGAACTATCCGCAAGCCGTGTCCTGGAGGGCAGTGGCAGGGCATATTTTTACCGGTTATCGATAATCGATAACCGAACGAGTCCGATTCGCCATCGCCGATGCACCATGTTGCGAGTCGGTGGGTCCAGGACAGGACTTGAGTGCCACTTTTAAGGAAAACCCCGGATGGACTACGTGGGGGCAATAGTGCAAACAGTCAACCATTAGCAGCCCCGCGGTGACCACTAAGTTACTAATGAACTAATTATCCTAACGGCCAGTTGACTGACCCTAGCGACGGTGAAACCGACCTTAGTACATTTAACTAGTACGTAGATAGTGTGTAGGGCTTAACCCTTATTGCTACACAACACTAACAAGTGCACTACTAAGTATTTATGATTGCACTACTCTTAATGTATTATGAACTAAAATAATTAATACAAGTAAGGTTAGTAACTCTTAAACT